AATTGTGTTTTCAAACAAAGAAGCTTGAGGTTTTAAGATACTCAAATGTTGTTTTTGCTAGGAATAAGAACGATAGCAAGTTTACCACAGGGCATGTTTTCCAATTTGGAGGTGCAGTTGTTTTTTGGGCTACTAAGAAATAAAGGTGTGGCACTCAGTACATGAAAGAAGCAGAGTGCATTGCTTGTACTTATGTGGTTTGGATAAGCACGTCATAGATGACTTGAAAGTACAAATAATAGACAAGTCAATTCAAATGTGCAATCAAATAAGTACAAAGTTAAGCAAATAATTTCAAGGGAGAACATATTAAGGAGTAGTACCACTATAGCCATGATATAATTGAGAAGAACGAGGTGATTGTGAGCTATTTGCCCTTGTCTGATATGATTGGAGATCCCTTGACAAAAGGTATCATATCGAATCATTTTCTAGGCATGTTGGCTTAATAGAACTTAAAAATGACTAAGCGAGATGATAGCCATGAGTCAAAAAATCTGCAATAGCATTAAAATCATCATGATGGAAATTATGGACATTTGTCAGGAGAGGCATATTTGCAATAGTGTGACAAAAACCTCATGACAATATGTCCTTAAGAAGGTTATATTTTAAAGTGATAGCAAACCTTTTTTGACAAATTATAGCATTCTCATGTTAGGGCATTCTCTTAAGCGATGCACCACTTGTGTGAAGTGAGAAATAAGCAAGGGTAGGGCAATCCTTGGAAGAAACGCATCGTACCGGTACCCGGGTGCAGTGAGAAATGAACAAGTGTTAGCTAGGGCGTTACCTAGAAACAACACTCCGCAACAATGCCCGAATACGATGATAAATAAGAAAGGGTTCCTGCGTCATCTTGATGAGCATAGGTAAAGAAGCTAGTCCAAGAGAGTAGGATCCGTCTAGACACACAAAATATAGGTATGCTAAAAGATAACAACATGGACTAAGTGGATACAATGAGACATAGAAGAGTTAACAAAGCTTGTCTGCAAGAAACTAAGTGAAAAGGGGAAAAAGCTAAAAAAAATGATGCACATAAACTTTAGAAAATAGGAAAAGATAATAATAGAAATGGCATAGACATAACAGTAGATAACAATTTAAAAATAAAGTAGTTAGTGTCAAGAGAGTAGGTGATAGGCTCCTATTAATCAAACTCATCTCGTGTTAGGGGAGGAGATAATTAATATAATTAGTGCTTATGTGCCACAAGTAGGACTAGTGGATAGAATTAAGAGATAATTATGGAAGGACATTGATGGATTGGTCTAAGAAATACCAAATGGAGGGAGGACCTTTTTAAGAGGGGACTTAAATAGTCATATAAGAAAAGATAGTAGAGGATATGAATGGGTACACAGGGGATATAGTTTTGGGGAAATAAATGATGGATGAGGCTATCCTAGATTTGCTATGGCCTATGACATAGCAATAGCAAACACTTGTATCAAAAAGCGAGATGAGCATTTAATAATTTATAAAAATAGATCACATAAACACCAGATAAACTTCTTTCTAGTCAAGAAGGTACATCGACTGTCATGTAAAGACTACAAGGTTATCCCAAGCGGGAGACTGACCGCGTAACAAAAGCTCGTGGTTATGAATGTCTACCTAAAGATATGAAAGAGAAAAAGTGAGACTAATAGGTGTCCAAGAACTAGGTGGTGGAATTTAGAAAAATAGAACATAGACTTATTTAGGATAAATTGGTAAAATAACAAAAATGGAATTTTGAGCATGAAGTTAATATTATGTAAAATACGATGGTCGACTTTATTAAGAAAGTGACAAAAGAAGTTTTAGGAAAAACTAGAGAGAATAAATTTTGACAAAAAAACCTGATGGTAGAGTGAGGAGGTTCGGAAGGCTATTAGCAAAAAATAATCACGTTACAATGCTTGGCAATGCGATAGAAATGATTAAAACTGAGAAGAATATAAAAATGTTAAGAAAAACACTAAGAAAATAGTAAGTAAGGCTAAACTTAAAGCATATGATAATCTAGACAATAAACTGGGGCAATAGAAAGTTAAAAAAAGTCTTCAAATTAGCAAAAATGAGACAGAGGAAGAGAAAGGATCTAGATAATATTAGAAGCATTAAGAGTGAGGATCGGAAAATCCTGGTGAAAGATGACGAGGTAAACGAAAGGTAGAGAATTTATTTTCGAAAATTGTTAAATAACAAACACTAGGAGAACACAACGATAGGATGAACCTTTGACATAAATGAGGGCAGAGGTCATAGTTATATTCGCAAGATTAGGATATTTAAAGTGAAAGAAACTGATTTAGATGAAGATAGAAAAGGCTTTAGGACCAAATGGTATCTCGATAGAGGTTTGGAAGAGCATGGGGGATATTGGCATGTGTTGTCTTCCCAAACTGTTCAACAAGGTGTTGAGAACAAAAAGAATACCAGACGAATAGAGAAAAAGTATTGCAATACCTATTTACAAGAACAAATGAGACATACACAATTGTATGAAGAAATATCAAGGGATTAAATTTATGAACCACACTATGAAGCTGCAGAAAAGAGTGGTTGAGCAACGACTAAGGCATGAAATGAGTGTACCAGAAAATCAGTTTGGTTTTATACTAGTGAGGTCAATTATCGAAGTCATTTTCCTAATTGGGCAACAGATTAAGAAGTTTAGAGTGAAGGAAAAAGACCTCCACATGGTCTTTATTGATTTAGAGAAAACATACGATAAGGTACCTAGATATTTAGTTTTATAGATGTTAGAAAAAAAAGGAGTCACCAGAGGCTATATTGACATAGTGAGAGATATGCACGAGGGAGGGATAACTAGTGTACAAAAAAATAATGGAGAGACAAGTGAGTTCTCAGTGACAATGGGCCCACATCAGGGATCAGTGCTGAGCCCATATCTCTTTACTTTAGTTATGGACAAGTTAACCAATCACCTACAACCAAGCACCTACAAGATAAGGTACCATGGTGTATGTTGCTCGCAGATGACATGATTTTATCGATGAGACTAGAAGCGGTTCATGTTGGAGGGGTGCTCTAGAATCTAAAGGTTTTAAAATTAGTTGAACTAAGACAGAATATGTGGAAAGCAAGTTTCGTAATAATAAGATTATAAATAAGAAAGTATTTAAGATTGATGGTCAATAAATACCTAAAAGCGATTGTTTTCGATATCTAGGGCTGATAATCAAGAGAATGAAGAGACTGAAGAAGATGTCGCACAAAGAATTAGAACCGGGTGGGTGAAGTGGAGATGTGCATCTGAAGTTATATGTGGTGCTGCATACCATTGAGATTCAAGGGGAAATTCTATAAGATGGCTGTAAGACCAGCCATGCTTTATGGGATGGAATGTTAGGCGGTCAATAAACAACATATTCATAGGATGAGCATAGCTGAGATGAGGAAGTTGAGATGGATGAGTAGCAAGACAAGATATTTAGAATAAATACACACGAGGGAACTTAAGTGTGGCTTCAATAGCTGATAAGGTGAGGGAAAGCATACTTAGATGGGCTGGCCATATGCAGCGTAGACCTAATACAACACCGATTAGGAGGTGCGATTTGGTTCAAATGGAAGGCTCTAAAAGGGCAAGAGAAAGGCCTCAAAGGACATGGATAGAAGTAGCGAGACAATAAATGGTGACTTTTGGTCTTATTAAGGATATGGCTCTTGATAAAGAAGAATGGAAGAATAGGAGTTATGTAGCCGACCCTAAATAATTGAGATAAGTCTTGGATGATAATGGCCATGATGAGATTGAGATAAGTCTTGGATGATAATTCAGCCCATATAGCTATGTGCGAGATGTTGGCACATGTCGCCATGGTGCCTCATGTTGGCACATATATTCTCATGGGACGAACCAACCATACTAGGGGAGTATGCTTATCTACCTAAACATTAGTGTTTTCCAATAGTAATATAATTCAAATTTGATTACGTTCTAAATTAATGGTTTCAAGGGTTATACAAGTAAAAGGATTAACATAAGCCCATTTTTTTTGGAATGGTCGTTTCTGAAAAGCCCATTGAGAATCTGAACATTAGACTCCCCATCCTTTCCTTTCATAAATGAGCTCAAAGAGAAGTTCCACAGTGTAAAAAACACAGAGCTCTCTTGATATGCTTCACTCCCTAAGAGTATGAGAAGTTTGTGAAAACTTTGGGCTCTTGCGATCACTACTCCAACATTCACTCACATATCTACTTGGTTGTCAAGCCTCCCTTTTTGTTTTCACTCTAAAATCGTATCATTGCATGCTATAGTTACATATAAACTATTTTGGCATGAAACTCATGATCTATTACCATCGATCCTGAGGATGGGGTGCCAATTGAGAATCATCTTTCTATAAGTGAAACCAATGTCTCTAGACTCGACTCGGGCCATGGACTTAGCCATGGCCTGAGCTGTGTATCTTGGACAAGTCCAAAAGGCCCTAACTTTTTTATATAAAAAATGCTAAAAAATTATATAAAAGATTTAAAAGTGAAACGAAAAATAAAAACTAACACAAGGAGCCCAAATAAGCTGGAGAAATATATAATACAAGGACGTAGAGAAAACTGACTTACGGTTGGAGGCATTTCAAAAAAATCCAAAAAAAATACAAAATTACAGAATTTGACAATAGAAACTCACATATCAATGTAAAACACATCTTATAGACTTATACATTGAGCCCACCATTTTTGTAATTTCTTATTTTCTTTTAATATACTCGAGTCGTACTCGGCTCGCCAGGGCCCCAGTCCGAGTAACTCTACGAGGGGCCGAGTCCGATAAACTCGGCCAAGTAGTTAAATACTGAGACAAAACATAGACCTTGAAAAAAAGAAAATAGCAAATTGTAATTTTAGAAGCCAGAGAGAGAGTGAGAGAAAGAGAGATATAGCAAGCATTCATGAGATTGCAAGTAATGATTCAGTAAATTGGAAGAACAAGAACAACCAAAATGTGAAATTAGAGAGAGAAAAAGGGTACCCACCCTGCAATTTGATTGGTGGGTATATTTCCAGCGCTTCAAGCAATCTCAGCTCCAATTCAACCTGTGGGAGCTCCTGAATAAGGAACAGGGAGAGGTAAAGACAAACCCTCGCATAAATGAAGGCAAACTAGATGGGGAAACGATTACACACATAGAGATGAGAGAAACAGGGAGTGGGTGTGTCAGAGAGGCGTGAAATAAACAGGAACTGGGTTCGTTTTAGAGAGGTGAAAGAAACAGGAACTGGGTTTTTAGAGAGGTGCAGAAACAAGAATTGGGTTCGATAGAATGAGGTGAGAGATACAGGAAGTGGGGTTGTTGCAGAGGTGAGAGAAACAACGATTGGGTTTGTTAATGACAGCTGAGAGAAACAAGCATTGGGTAGAAAGAGAGAGAGAGAGATTTGTTAAGACAGCTGAGAGAAACAAGCATTAGGTAGAAAGAGAGAGAGAGATGTTACCTTGGGGAGAGAAGATGCAGATGAGGGTGGGGCCTGACATGGAGAGTGCACTGACACGTCTTGCTCCTCTCCCATTTTTCCCATTTTCTTTCCCTGATCTTGAAATCCGTTAAAACTGGAATTTGCCCTTTGCCAATGAGAATGAAATCCACCATTATTGCCTGATCACATATACTATGCTCCCGAGGGATCATAGTTTGCTTACTCCCTCCTTGAGGAATTATTTAGTATGAATTTTTTATGGGATTATATACCAAGGCACCATTTATATTTAGTACAAAGGGATCACAATTATTATTTTTAGCCATTCAATATGCAATCCAATATATTAAATTTTATTTCAGATATTGTGTCCAATAAATGATACATCCTCAATCACCCGATTTCACACTCAATGATAATAATGGTTGTAACTTCGTTGTATCAAAAATAAATAGTATCATTATATATCTTTTTAATTTTTATAGTATTTTATCTATATAAGGTACAAAGTTGCAATGTTGAACAATCAAATTAAGGTGCACATCTAAACTTTATAATGAGATGTAATTTAAGTAACGAAAATTCTTAGGATAACACAAAAATCTATTTTTCTATCTAGTTATAAAAATTTAAACTTCAAAAATAGGTCAAATAAAATGGATCTATAAACTCACAAAAATCTTTAAAATAAACGTTCCAGAAAATGTGTTGTAAGATGTTTTATTTTTAGGACTTGAAATATCTGTTTTTCCTCCATGTCTTATATCTTGATGCCAAGATGATCAATTAGATGCTTTCCCATGATTAAAACAACTTTTTTCAAAATATTTTAGAGGTACACTTTATTTGTACATTTTAAGGTGTCAACCTCAAAGAAACTTTTTTATGTTTATATCACTAAAATTTGAGGTCCAAAAATTAATCATAGATGAGGTTTTACCCAATAGATTAAATAGATAATATGCTCCAAGGGGAGTAGAATATCTTTTGGCGTATTAGGAAAAACTACATTTCTTTTCTTGGCGCCCCGCCGTTCCAACCCCGGTAACAATAAAAAATAAAAAAATAAAACATCCGATTTCTATACAGCCAAGCCCTCATATGTAGAAATTCGGTCCTATTAATAAATGTATATTTTAGATCGATTTTTTTTACTTAATTTTTAAGGATATGTAATATAATATGGAGATCAAACATATGAAAAAATAAATAAATTTAAAAAAATAAAAATAATAATTCCAATAAGAAAATATTTGGACCGTTAGTTTCCATTGTTTTTAGATGAAACACCTACTTGCATCCATCTTTGAGATTGAAGCTTTACACTTTTTTGACCACATATGTAGTTATGCCGTCCAGCCCACATGAGACAATTTTCTAAAAAAAAGTGGCAACCATTTTTTTTTTCCCGACAAGACCTTTTTTCTAAGGTTGCAACCTTAAACAATCCAATAGAGGCGCACCTCAAAATTTTATCGTAAATATAATTGTAATATCAAAAATTCTTAAGATGGCTTGATAATATATTTTCATCTTTAATTATAATATTTTAAACTCTAAAAATAGTTCAAACCAAGTAGTGTGTTGCAAGATATTGAAAATTGATGGTCACGATAATGTGTTGCAAGATACACTATTTCGCGGACTTAAAATCTTTTTTTATGTTCATATTCATACATCTCGATATCGATATGATAAATTAGAGGGTTTTCTAGTATCCAAACAACCTTTTATGATGGATTTTTGAGGTGCATTTTTTATTATACATTATAAGGTTGCAACCTTATATAAACTATTTCCTTCTTCTAATTCTTAGATAAATTAACTTAAACATTATTTTGTTTGCATTAAAAAAATGTAAATTTGCACATTTACTCTTATTTAAAAATCTCCCCTTCTCCTCGTGATTTTTCTAATTTGCATGCATATCCTTGTTTTTCTAATCCTTCTTTGTTGCCAAGTTGCCACTACTTTGCATCTTAACCGTCACAAATGACTAAACCATTTTATGACTTTGGATTTTCAAATTAATATCTGCATTTTGCCGTTGCTTCAAACTCTTCATGATATAAAATCAACTATGACTTGAGATTTTGAAGATCCAAAGCCTTATATATGGGGTCATGGTTTTGGATCTTCAAAATCTAAAATCGCATATGATTTTGATATTGAATATCTAAAGTAACTACAGCCTAGAAATAAAAGATAAGACGACAAATAAGGTATATGGGGGTTGCTTTTGGATCTTCAAGGTATGAAGTCATAAAATGGCTCTGTCACTTCGGATCTCGGAGATCCAGATCTTAAGTAGTGCCAACTTAATTATAAAAATAGGGATTGTATATTGTGATCCTATTTATTTTTGGGTGTGGTTTACATAAGGTTGCAGCCGTGAACAATCAAATTAAGGCGTACTTTCGAATTTTATCATAAATGTAATTCTATTGTCAAAAAGGATGGCTTGAGAAACTATTTTCATTTCTAATTATACAATTTTAAATCCAAAAATGGTTCAAAATAAGTAGATGTATAAACACATGAAAATCTTAAAAATAGACAGTCCTGATAATGTGTTGCAATATACACCATTTAAGGGCACCTTAATTTTACATTTTAAGGTTGTAACATTATTTTTTAACATAATGAGATCACGATTACTTTTAGCCATTGGGTATATTACAACATTCGATAAATTTTATTTTGGACTTTGTGCCCAGACAATGACACATCATCAACTACTTGATTCAAATCTAACTATCAAGATAGTTATGACCTCCTTGCATCAAAAGTAAATGGTATCATTGTATCCCTTCCCATTAAAAATAAAATGAAAAAAGGCATGTGAATAAATTAGGAAATTTGTGGGGTTTTTTAAAAAAAAACAGTAATTGTATGGGGTATATATGTAAAAAACTCTTTAAAATTTTCATGCAATTTTTTTAATTTACATGATGTAGACATCCAATTTGAAAATTGGTAATTTCCTAAATAGCATGATTTCCACAAGGTTGCAACTTGAAACAATCCAATTAAGACACACCTTCAAATTTTATCATAACATATAATTTTGACGTAAAATATTATTAGGATTATCTCAAAAGGTCATCCCTAACCTTTGGGCCCATCAAAACCTAAGATCCCTATATCAAAAAACCTTAATTATCTGTAGCCAAAAACAACCATTAAACCATAATTATATAGAGTATTAAGAAAGAGATACTACGAGCATCTGAAAACCCTAGGATTAAACAATTCGTAGGTGTATATCAAATTCAACCGAATCTCTATAAGATTGATGACAAATATGCTTCAACGTCTAGTCTGATATGGTCCAACAATTTCGGGCGTTAGGCCAGTGGGGCCAGTTTCCAACTAAATGGGGTTTTTTTTTTTTTCTTTTTCATTTCAATTTAGTTTATTCTCTTTTTGTTTTTACCCTTTTTTTTTCCTTTATTTTGTAAGCAATTTCAAGCCCGCTGCCAACGATACATGAGAATTTATGTTTCTTCATATCCATCTTCTCATGGAGTGTAATTCAACAAAACCCACTTTCCCTATCGAAGTTTTAAATTGTTTAGTCCAAAACACAAATCATAGAGGATTTCACCTAAGATTATCCCATATTTGGCTATAAACAATTTAGCACCCACCGTGGGGCTTGTCGAACTTATTTCGCACAAAAGCCTACCAAGAAATGACCTTGAAAAACCATTCTAGAACTTGTTTTTAACAATCCGAAACTAATATTTATTGTATAGGAAGAACTAGAAAATCAAGGAGGACCCAAAAAATTGCGACACAAACACATTGCAGTTACTACATATATATGCGACACATTTCACGTCGCAAACCTAATACAAGGTCTGCTAGGTCACCCACGATGCACTGTGGGTTGCAAGAGGTAGCATGGCCTATGACATGGAGAGCTGCAAACCGGATCCAGGCCTCGGAACTTCCTGAAAGCTCGGACCTCTCAGTTCTCTCCATGTTTGGACCACCTAAGTCTTTTCGATTTTTTTGTTTATAGTCCAAGAAAAATAAAGATAATAAAAATAAAGAGAAATGTAAGGACTTTAAACTTTCACTTAACCCATCCCAAACTTGATTGAAAGATGTGGGTCATGTTAGGTAGGTAGCCAACGTAAAACTTTACAACAATGTAATTTGTTTTGCTTATTTACTTGTTTGTTGGTTGAACGTTTTCAATACTCCATGCCTTGAGATTTTTAGCACTTCAATTTATTTGTTAAAATTGTAAATCAGACATTAGTTATATTTAAAATAAAAAAACCCTATTTTCAAATTTCTTTTAATATGTTGAAAAATGAAGGAATTGGAGGGTTTGCCCAAGATTGTCCATAAGTTGTCTAGTGCTAGGTGATGAGAACCTAATATTATCGGCATAAATCCATATTTCAAATCTAGGAGTAATGCTTAGACCAGAAAGTATAAACCTATAGAGACCAAATTGAAATTAATATTTTTCTAATTTCTGGATCTTAAGCCATAAAATAATGACCCCAAATTCCTAAGAAAAAGACTTCGAATAGCAATGTAATCCTTAGGGACGACAATAGCCTGATACACCACAAATCATATTAAACTATAGTCATGACCAAATCTATAGTCTAGCCAAAACATGCCGAAATAATCCTAAATCCCAGAATAGATAATTTTAGGAAAATCCACAAAATAGAAAAGTTTTGTAGGGGAAAAGTAATGAGAGTTTAAACAGGTAAATTTGGTCAGAAATAGCAAGTAAATACACTCTTAATCAAAATATCGAGAAAATATAGGTTAATTAAGTGGAATTATGCATTGGATGGTGCGATGCAAACAATTGTCAACTTTTGATTCGTTGTAGATCACAACTTTCTAATTTGTATATGAAAACCTTAAAAGGGTAGCCTCTATAATGAAACCCTAAACCTTGAAGCATACCTAAATCTTAAACCCTAACCTAATTCCTTACAAACCCTTGTTTCAATTCATCATATCAACTCAAAACCCTTGCTTCTATTCATCATATAAACTCGAAGCCCTAGTTCTCCATGAACCCATGATTACCCATTTCATAAAATGAAGTCATTCATTTATCTACCCTATCATGCCTCTAACCCTAGATTTTAAGAAGCTTCTTAGTTTAATTAATTCAAGATCATGGTAAGTCAAAAATTTCAAAAGTATAAAGGATTAAATCATTTGTAAAAGCTATGTTCAAGGCTCCTATTCTTATGCTGGGCTGGAAGTATTTATCTTTTGGTTTTCAGTGTTTTATTTGCTTAAAAAGGGTTTGGTCTCTTTAGTTAGGTTCAATTACTTTTGGGATGGAATTCGATAGGACCCCCTGATATTTTAAATCGATGGGAGTTTGCGTCGAATCTAGTATTAGATCAGGCCTGGATTTAGTTATATACACAAGCAATAGTAAGTAAAACCCTCGCTAGATCATTAAAAACCATAGCCATATGAGAGCCTTAAAAGCAAATGGAACTACGAAAAGGTAACCAAGTTCAAAGTTCAAAATAAAAATTCAGGGCCTAAGATCATAGGGCATGACAAGGTAACCAAGTTCAAAGTTCAAAATGAAAATTGAGGACCTAAGATCATAGGGCATGACAGAAAAACCTAAAATCCAATAACAATCGAGAATGCATTGGAGAGAAAGGAAGAGTAATATGTATGCAATTGACATGGAAAAATGTTTTCTAGGTTTATTCCCTATATGATGAATGCACGAGAGAGACAAGAGATAGATAGCATATGTGAGACAAAGAACGTAGAGAATACATTATATGGAGAGGAAGAGCAATGCAGCAATGCACTCTCAAAGGAACAATATTTTCATCTGCTAAAAAAAAAAAGGAATAATATCTCGACCTCAAAGTGTATAAATACGAAAAAATTAAGTCTAACAAAAACAGCGAAGCTTGCGAGACATTATTCAGACCATTCATTCTTAATATTTTCGGGACTTTATAAATGTGCATGTTTTGCACTATTTTTTGAGCTTTTAATTTCATCATTAGGTGTAGATATAGATTTTTTAGGCTGTCTTAGGTGTTTTCGGATGTGAAACTGCATCTTTTCATAGAGTTTTGAGATGCACCTTCCTTTGATTGTTAGAGAATAATCCATTGTATAAATTACACATATGGGAATAGTTTCAATAAATAAAAACAATCAGAATACCCCTGCAAATTTCAGGAATATTTTATCATTTCATTTGTTAGAAAACCATCAAATCAATTGTTAGGACCCCAAAGATTATGAATATAAAAATAATATGAATTTCAAACCCTACAAAATTAATGTGTGCACTAGGCATGCAACAATTACTAAATATTCAAATTTCATAGTGAGAGAAGAAAAAGCTTTTCAGGTCATCACAAGGGTTTTCGATACTTGAGTTGTATTTCATTGCAGAAATGTGAGGCATGAGTTCGATGCAATACATGTACTTCTAGTAGAATTTTTAAGCATGATTTTCATAAAATACTGTAAAACCACAACCTTGTACTATTGCACTAAGGGTGCAAGTGGTAATCTTACTTGTATAAATAAGATTACGATATTCTTCACTGTCATTTCTTGTTGAATAGTGTAGATTTTTATAGCTCTACTTATGCAACTAAAGCCGCAACCTTACATAAACTTTTTCCTTTGCGGTTAGTGTTTTAGAACCCAATGATTTTCGATTTGGATCGTCGATACGGATGGGAATGAGTTGGGATCGAACCGATTTTGGCATGATATAGGTCCTAGCCCGATCCGCCCACCCCTATCCCATCCCCCACCTCCAAAAAGAAAAAAAGAAAAAAAGAAAAAGAAAAGAAACAACCAACCATATTTTGTTTATTTTTTTTAGCTTGTCTAATATTTTTTGAGGTTCCTTTATATATCCACTCCATAAACTCCTATTAATTTTATTTTATTTATTTTTTAAATTTTTTGGATCACTGATTTATACGGATCCATACACAATTAAGATCCCCAATCTAGCGATTCAACATGTATTTGTTGGCAAACGATCTGCTCAACCGATCCGGTTTTAAAAACATTGCTTGTAGCCGTTCCCAATGCAAAGAGTATTTTCGTCATAAATATAGAGGAGAAAGACATCCTCGTCGTAAAACTCAAACTTAGGGGCAAATTTAGTAATTTGACAGTACACAGGTAGGTGGGGTTCGTTTCTAACGGACGTTTACTTCCGTCTACTCCTCCGTTACCCTCCGTGTTCTTTCCATGAGCGGCAAAAAGTCGGCGCCAAATAAATAAAAAAGAAGTTCTGTAATAATAGTGGGCTCAATGGACGGTCCAGATATCTTCCCGCTAAACACAATGCAGCCATCTCAGCCGTTCGTTTAATAAATAAATCCAATGGAAAGCGAAGGGTGGCCCCAGCATTCCCGCCACCCCGAAGCACGGGCGATTGATTCGCACGTGCCGAAATTTGAGGGATTTGAAAGGTATAATGACCAAAATACCCATATATTTTGTAAGATTGACAAAAAGCTAATCCCTTTTCTGAAATTTATAATAATTCAAACTCACTCATTGATAAATTTTTGGCTCATTCATGAGTTTAGGGAAAGTCATTGAAGTCATTGGGTTGTTTATGGCAATACATCACCCAAGACATGCACATTGTTTATATATTTGTATGCATGGAAAATATATGCAATCGATGTTTTTTTTTTTCAAACAAATATTCATTAAACTTTTATTCATCAATCTAAGAGATTACAACAAATCATTTACATTATTTGGAAATGCAATAAGTGTTTTTAAACACACAAATCAAGTGCTCTCTCGGATGGTAATGACCTGAATTTTGAGTCCCCCAATTTGGCTAGAGCGATTTATCGAGTTCGAGCTTTGGTGTACAATGAGGTTTTCCAGCCAAAAATCGCTAGGCTCTTGATTGCACTCTACTCAGGCGAGTCCCGTTTTAGTTCAACCGAAACAAGTGATTTTTCAAATACTGCACATCGTATGCATATAGAGTATTACATACAATGTATATAGATGATCATATAAATCTATAGAATATACATGACATATACACACACATTGTGTATAACATGTATGTAGATGTGTTGTACCATATGCGATTGAATTCAAGTTTCACAAAAAGGAAAACACACAGGTTACTTTAATACATTTTCTAATGAAAAATTTTGTTAACTTTTGCTATAAAAGGTCACAATAACTTTAGTCAAAAGATATGTAATTGCATAATTTTTGTCTTATTATTTATGTAACAAAATAAGAGCGATTGTGACCTTTTTCAGAAAATACAAACATTTTTGCAATATATATTATCAATATTGATTCTATTTACTTCAATTGGATTGCCTAAGTTAAGCAGGCGGTACAAGCTTTCAACAAATCAAAGCCTTCTATTTAAGAGAGAGAGAGGGGTGGGTGGCAATGGACTTGGGACCCGATAGGTAAACCCAACCATGGGTCCGGGTATGGGTCTAAATTTTGTATCTAAAAGGTCAAAAACTATTTGGGTCCAAATTTAGCTGAGTAAACAATGCACCAATAAGCTCTAGTTTGGCATGCACAAATGTTGTAAATTGCGGCTGGTGCAATCGCATAGGCCTTCAACAGAATGACAAGGGCCTTTCAGTCATATCAAAAATGACAAGGGGCTTTTAGTCATATCAAAATATATTATGTCACCCCAAATATGCCCATGTGTTTCTCATCAAGGACAAAAAGTAACACCAACTTTTTCCATAAAGCCAAAAAGCTCTCGTTCAAAGCAAAGTACACCTCACTCGACCATAGAAAGCCAACAAAAATGGAAAGCTTTTGGCAAATTTCAAAGTTGAGGCCTGACCCGTCTCTAGACCAAAAGATTGAGGTAGTTTCGTCATTTTGCCCCTCCCTTGATTACCCAGCCACGGCACCCGCTAACCCTAGCTTCGGGAATCCAAGGCTGATGGTTCGGGACCAGAACCTCTACCCTCGGACCGAGCCTCGTATTGGATTTCGTTGAAAATTTCGCACTATTTTTGATCACTTTATCTTTGGCTTCGTCTGAAGAAAATAAAAACCCTTCTCTCTCCCCCTTCTCTGCACCTTCCCTCCCCTTTCTCTCTCTAAACTTTCTCTCTCCTTTCTCTTTCTCTGTCTCTCTCTAAGTTTTCTCTCGCTAAGCTTTCTCGCTCATCCCAAGAGCCGGAACCCGCTCCATCCGCCATTGAAGGGCTTCGCCATACTTTGAGTAAGTCCCCCCTGAAACCTAGATTTCTAGGGTTTTCTGCCCCTTCCCTGCCCTGTTTGCCACGATTTCTAGGGTTTCGTTGTGAAGCTTAGGTTCGCATTTGTACGGATTTATGTTGTTTGGTTAGGCATTAGGTGGTGTTTTCTTGGTTTTTGTAGCTGGATTGGGCCCGGTTTTGGGGATTTAATGGTTGGATTTTTTATGATCCAGAGAATTGGGGTGCACTGGAGGTTTTGGGCAAGCTACTGGTTATGCGTGTTTCAAATTTGAGGGTTGATTTTGGTGAATATTAGATGTAGAATGGTGCCATGGGAAGGGGTGCTTGGTTCCAAGAATTGTGTTTTCTGAGGGATGCTGCTTTTCGAGTTTCTTTTCTCTCCTGGCGCTTGTTTTATTAGGGTTCCTGAAACCAGCGTTCTCATATTCTGGGATCCCTTGATGTGGTTGGTTTACTGTTGGTGGGTAAAATGCACATTTTAATGCTTTAAATTTGGTTTCTCATGTATGGTTTTACTGTATTCTGTTTTTTTTCTTTTTGTTAGTAAAATTTTCCTGGAGCTGGTTGTTGCACCTTGTGGAATTTACTCTTTGAGCATTGGAGTCTTACTATGGCGTTTTTTCATCATTCCTTTTCGCGATTCATCTATTCATTTATTTGTTTGTTTATTTTTAAGTAGCTCGGGCATGGTCATACTTGTTTAAATTTGCTACTGTTAAAAGTAGCACACATCAATGTGGTTTAATGCTTATATTCCACTACCCAGTTTTGCTTCTGCGCTTTGTTTTTTCTTCAATATTTTATATTTGGAACTGAAATTGCTGGTGCAGCTTTTATAGAAAGCATATCCTCTGTTTTATTTGTTTCACATGCAATACACTGTATGTGTGTTGCTAAACCTATTGCATTTTGTGTCGATTTGTTCATATTCTTTACAAGATTTTTTTTTTGGGGTCTTTTATTCTTTTAGGGTTAGAATGTGATGTACTTATCTTGTAATATAGACCTTCCGTTTGTTATTTGATTCTGTCTCTAAGTCATGTATGTCCCCCCCTCATCCATGTTACTAATTAGTATTCTGACTATTCTCTATTTGTTCCTCCTCTTCCCCGGCTCCTGCCGCCCACTCTCCCCCCTCTCTCTCTACACACACACACACACACACACACATATATATATATATATATATATCTATCTCTTGGGTTGTATTTTAATTTGTGCACCATGTGGTGTTTTTACATTATTGCATCTTGAAATAGTCAATGGCTTCTCATTTAACAAGTTATGATGATACATGTGCAGCCACCCGATCTAGGAGCTAAAATAATCTACAAAATATTGCCGAGTGGGGGTGTTTTGCCTTATGGATACAAGAGAAAAAACATCTTTGTTTTGGTATCAGCAAAAAAGTGGTTACTCTTCTACTTGATTATGTCCGAATGACCATTGAAGACTACCCATTTGTCATATGGATATACTACCAAGATGTCCAA